ATGATGGGTGAAGGTTTGGACCTTCAGCATGTATGTGAGGACTTGGCCAATTTATGAGTATACAAAAGACAAGATATATGTGGTTCACCCTTAATGAATGGGCTACGTCCACAGAGAAGATGTTCTCATTATGATATTGTTTACATTTGTACAAGGGGATTAGACCCAAAGATAACTGGAAGAAGGCCTAGGGCCTAAGGTACAAAGTTAGGAGTCTGGAGCCCAGGTGTCAAGTCCCCGGGTCTGGAGACCCAGGACTCGGAGGCCAGACTAATAGGAGAGTCCTGAAGAGGGAACCCAGCTCAGTTTCGGATCCTCTCTTAAGTGGAGAGTGGTATGCTTTTATAGGTGAGAGGGAGCCTTCACTTCTTGTTGTTTTCCGATGTGGGACTCCTCTTGCTTTGCTTAGAGTTCCTTCTAGTCTTCTAGTTGCTTGGTCAGTTATGGTGTCAACAATTTTCTTCTGCAATCTTTATTTTTTTTCTTCTTGCTCTGGATGTTTAGTACATGTTAATTTTTTGGCCCCCCAAAAATTTGAATCTTGGCTCCGCCCCTGGTCAGAATAGCTGTCGTACCTAACATAATCCAAAAGATATGAAGATTGTCTAAAACAAAATTCGTTAATCAACGGGTTTAAAAATAAATAAAGAACCTTTAGTTTAGCAATTCGTAGCCTGTATATCCAAATAAAATGAAAAAGTTAGTTTCGGTACACAATAAAGACCACTAAGTTTCGGTTTATCAATTAATAAATGAGAATGATATATTTAGGTATATACCCATTCTTAGAACTAATGATATAGATGAACCATACACCATTTAATTTCTATAAACAAACCAACAACAACAACAACCAAAACAAAAAAAAAACATCTGGCTCCTGGTACACTATTTGGTGGTTCCTATAGCTCAGTTATTTTCAAAGTAGCACTATGCACTTGCAAATGATAATGAGTGAATTGATTTGATGGTCATGATTACTGTTTTTGAATTACTTATTAGGGTCGGGGGACGCCACTCCTGGTACCTGTTTTAATATTGCATGCATGCTCTCACTCGTCATATAAATCAATATTGCATGCATGCTCTCATCACTTTAGGTTTTCATCTTCATGACAAATTAGGGATCCTTTTAATCTCCTTCACACTCCTCACTTTGATAGGAATCTAAGTCCTAAACCAACTTATTTTATTTCCTCTGCTGCGTTGTGTGTGTGTGTATATATATATATATATATAGGGCTAAAGAGTTGCATATTCAAGAAGAAGAAGAAAACAGTTATTGTCATTGTAGAATTCAATAGTAGTGATTGTGAAGCTGACAACAGCATCAGCAGCAGGGTTTTAAGCCTTCTTCTGCTATATTAATCCCAGGGGCTCCTATACTGGTTGTTTGTTTTCAGATTTCTTTTGTTGAAGGAGGTGATGATGTCCTTGGTGGTTTTAGAGATGTCGTTCTTGAAGGTGGTGATGATGTCCTTGGTGGTGATTTGGGTGTCTCTAATTTTCTGCCTTAGCCTATTGCAAATCTTTCTAACGCCGGTGTATGTTGAAGGTTGTAAGTGTGTTATGCTTTAATATTGTTTAGATCTAATTGTGTTTGTTTACATCATTAATTGATTTCTTTTTTTCTAACGATTAATCTTGCAGGGTTCTTGCGGCTCCTCTGGCTTTTGATCAGATTGAGGCTCAAGCATGACTCGTCAGAAGGTTTCTTTGCTAAATTTAACACATGGCTCGTTGAATTTGAGGCCGAGCTGAACAAAGGGGATGACAAGAACACAGTTATTGTAACAGCCAGCGAATCAACAACAATGGAATTTGAAGCTGAAATTTGAAGTCTAAGATGTTGTTAGTTTGATGTTCCAGAGCTTTAGGTTTTCTTTTTCTTGTTTATCTAGGATACTATGTTGCTTAAGCTCATCTATCATTGTAATAAACACAAAAATATTAGAATTCAAGTTTTTTCAGAATAAACAGGAGAGAGATGGAGCATCAATGTTACTAAATGGAGAACCTGACAACCTCTTCAACTTCTCCTTCGTTCTCATAACATCCTCCTCTTTATTGAACATCTCAGCTTCTCATCCTGATCATCCATCAAGATGGAACTTCTCAAACAAACTTGTTCTCAATCTGTATGTTTGTAGGGTCACCTGACCTGATGAACCTTCAGAATTGTTATTGTTTTTGCCTAGTTAGAATTGTTATTGTTATTCAAAGGGAATTTTTGTCCTCGGCCCGTGACGTTGAGCATCCACAGTGGGGTCCTTAAATCACCTTCTTAGACAAATTTTAGGGAGGAATTGGAAAAATTCAACTCCAACCATGCTCCCTATCAACCTCCTAAATATGGAGACTTCTAATAGCTCCTAATATGAGGAGAGAGAAAAGACTCATAGTGACTCCTTATAATTTAATGCTGCTTTGTTTTATGCATAGTTTAAACTTTTAGTTAATGCTATCTAATTTTTAATATTATTTTTTATAGAGACGAGCCAATCATATTGAATTATAAAATAACTATTGTATTTATGACTCCTTAAACTAGGGAGTATGATTGGAAGTTCAAATTTTATATAGAATTCCTAAAATAAATTTGGTGTATTTTCAGTTAAATTTTAACGAAAAAGTAGGGAGCATGATTGTAGATGGTTAGACAAGGAAACTTTGTCTACAAATATGCGGCTACAACAACGAGGATCAGCAGCTCCTTCATCTCCCCCCCAAATGGTGCGCATGGCTTGCGCACCCCCAGGTGAGGCATGCTGCCCTCCCACTTGCACACGGCTTGCTCTCTCTTATACACAAGCTGTTCACTTCTCTGTAGTCCCACGGCAAGTCTCCTAGTTACTCACATGCAAGCTTTCACAATTAAAAAAAAAAAAACTGTTGGTGATACAACAATGAGCATTACACTAATAATTTAATTCAACAATTAAATTAAACTATAAACAAAATCGCGAATTTAAATAAGACAGTAAAATACAAACTGACTGGTTTTCCATATAGAGGCTTGCATTTTGGAATGTCCTTGAAACAGAATTTCGCCCCTACTCAGTGCTTGTAGTTCTGCAAGCGTCTGCTCCACCAGAATACAACTATATTAAAACAAAGTCCTAGCACTAAGGCTTTGATTTCTAGCGAATTATGTATGTTTATCTCTCAGGCTACAGGAATATATGACTTAGAATGAAATTTGCGTTTTTGATGTCTGATCGGTTCATAATTGTATATCATTTTGTACCCTTCTAGCTTATGATTTGGTTATGTTTTTGAGTTAAACTTGTGCTTTTAATCCTTTTTGTGTTTATCTTTCAGTTCATTGAGCTTTAGGTAACAATGATGGCTTTGGATATGAAATGATGTAATCCATGCATGTTAAAGCCTGATTTGGATAAAGGGAAGAAGTGCTTAAAGACAAACTCATTTTGGCTACAGCCCCCTGCCAGTCCAGTTCCGTAGGTCATATTGCAAGCTTTGTTTCAGCAACCTACACAGCTCGGATGAGGCAGCATTCTTCATGAAAGTTGTTCCAATGGGTGTGTACTATAACATATCCAAAATTCAGCCCCATTGGATAAATATGGAGTCTGTTACCTAGCAAACACAGAACCATGCTCAGGATGGATCTTATCAGCGCGGAAAATGAGTTAGCAATTTGTTTCGGCCTTAACTTCTTCCTCCGACCTTGGATTGGCCCAAATAACATATGGCTGGAAAGAAGACATTCTGAACTTCAAGTTTGAGTGCTTAAAGTCTTAATTTGCTTAAGGGAAGCCCAATTCGTAAGCCCTTGAAGTTGCTGGTCATGCTGACCTCAGGATGAGCTATTATTTCTGGTTGGAAGCTTGGTCATGGTGACATGAAGATGAGCTAGGGCTGCTGGTGGGATCTATTGGTGAAGGGCATCAACCAATTCAAGATTTTCTAATACAAGTGCATCAACCAATTCAAGATTTTATAATACAAGTGCATCACCCAATTTAGATTTTCTAATACAAGGGCATCAACCATTTCAGATTTTATAAAACAAGGGTTGTATGCATTAGCCATA